TCCTTTACCCAGAATCCTTGGGACCAGAAATGTTTCTGACTTGGGATTTTTTTTTTTCAGATTTTGGAATATTTTTGCCGTATACAAAATGAGCTATCTTGGGACTGGAAACCCAATCTGACCACAAAATTTACTTACACTTCATACACACCCTAGACCCACAGCCTGAAGGTACTTTATGCAGTATTTTTGAATTGCAGTATCTTGACCATGACCCATCAGAGGAGGTCAGGTGTCCAGGACTCGAGTCATGGTCGGCCATGTGGGAGTCCAGCACCTTAACCACCATGCCACTTGCTGACCCCAAGTTTCTGATGTTTAATTATAACTATTATACAAGATAAAATCTTGGGGAAGTCACATTAGCTTCGTTTTTTTAAAAAAGTATATAATTTTCTAATTCTACTTTGAATCATTTAGGCCAGATCTCATAAATATGTACACATATTATTAAGAATCTCTCTTATTTGTAAGTCAGTTTGAAAAAAGAAAAGAGGGAGCAGCAGTTGGCGTAATGGCTATGTCACTGGACTCCCATGTAGTTGACCGCGGTTCAAGTCCCGGACCCGGTGGCTTAAACTCACGCTGGGCGTGTGTGTGTGCATACCCAAGATCCTGAGAGGAGAATGGAGGAGAAGGGATTGCGGCGTGGCCATCCCTCCTGGGGGAGATTTCTCGTTTTCTGTCTGTCTCTCTGTCTTCCTGGCGAGCGCACGCGCCCTATAGCAAAAAAAAACTCTCCAAAAAAAATAATAAAAAGAGTAATGCGGAAGTGTATTATTTCTGTAAATTCATGTCTACCCGGTTGCATCAATTCTTGACAGAAAGGAAAAGAGAGAGAGAGGGAGAAAGGGGTTACACCTACGAGGCTACAGAGTGTTGAAATAAACCAGGACTAAATGAAGAATGAGGAACCCTGTCCTTCTGAAAATAGCCACTAGGGGGAGATCGCAGGTAGGCCTGAGCTTCAGGAAAGGACGTCTTCCTCTCTGGGTAAGGAGATTCGGTCATTCTAAGACCGCTTTCCCGTTTACATTCTGACAGCGGGGCACAGATGCATACCCAAGATCCTGAGAGGAGAATGGAGGAGAAGGGATTGCGGCGTGGCCATCCCTCCTGGGGGAGATTTCTCGTTTTCTGTCTGTCTCTCTGTCTTCCTGGCGAGCGCACGCGCCCTATAGCAAAAAAAAACTCTCCAAAAAAAATAATAAAAAGAGTAATGCGGAAGTGTATTATTTCTGTAAATTCATGTCTACCCGGTTGCATCAATTCTTGACAGAAAGGAAAAGAGAGAGAGAGGGAGAAAGGGGTTACACCTACGAGGCTACAGAGTGTTGAAATAAACCAGGACTAAATGAAGAATGAGGAACCCTGTCCTTCTGAAAATAGCCACTAGGGGGAGATCGCAGGTAGGCCTGAGCTTCAGGAAAGGACGTCTTCCTCTCTGGGTAAGGAGATTCGGTCATTCTAAGACCGCTTTCCCGTTTACATTCTGACAGCGGGGCACAGACTGGCTGCTTTGTCGCTTGTGTCTTCATTGTGATGTGTGGAATAGAGCGGAAGCACTCACCCTCGAGTAACCAAAGAGCTGTTTTCTTAGGAAGTGGACAGACGGATTTTGGCCCCCAGCTTAAGAACCTCAATAAGAAGCTCTTCACAGTGGTCGCCTGGGATCCTCGTGGGTATGGACATTCCAGACCCCCAGACCGAGATTTCCCCCTGGACTTTTTCGAAAGGGATGCAAAAGATGCTATGGATTTGATGCAGGTGGGTGTCTAAAGGAAGCGCACAGAGAAGGAATGAGTAGACCTGTCTTGACTTTCATTTTTGTTCTGTTCTCCATGGGTAAAACTATGTCATTTCCTTCTTTTCTTTTTTCTTTTCTTTTCTTTTCTTTTCTTTTCTTTTCTTTTCTTTTCTTTTCTTTTTCTTTTCTTTCCCCCAAAGAGGTTTTTTGCTATAGGGCACGTGCACTCACCAGAAAGACAGAGAGAGACAGAGAGATAGAAAGTGAGAAATCACCCCCTAGGGGGGATGGCCACACCGCAATCCCTTCTCCTCCATTCTCCCGGGTTCTGGGACTCGAACCTCGGTCAGCCATGTGGGAATCTAGCGCCCTTAGCTACCACGCTACCTGCCGGCCCCACTGAGTTTGAAAATTATCATTATGATTGGTTCTCAGACTCCTTCGGCAGAGAGGAGCAATAACCGGTGCTGTGCATTCTGTTGTATCTGTCACAGACGCTGAAATTTAAGAAGATCTCTCTGCTGGGGTGGAGTGACGGCGGCATAACCGCCCTGGTGGCCGCTGCAAAATACCCGTCTTACATCCACAAGATGGTGATCTGGGGAGCCAACGCCTACGTCACCGACGAAGACACCACGATTTATCAGGGTAGGTTCCACGAGCTGCGGAGCCCTGGGTTCCTTCTCTGCTCTGTTGTTTTGACACGTATCGACAAGCCTCTGCTTCCAGTTCCGGACTCTAAGGGACAAAGAATAAGGACTTCCTAAAAAAGCAATAACATTGGGACCAGTCTGACTTTGAAAGCTTTCCATTTCCAGGCGTGAAACTTTTTTGTTTTTTATTTTTTTGCTATAGGGCGTGTGCGCGCACCAGACAGACAGAGAGAGACAGAGAGACAGAAAGCAAGAAATCACCCCCCAGGGGGGATGGCCGTGCCGCAATCCCTTCTCCTCCATTCTCCTCTTGGGATCTTGGGCACGCACGCACACGTGCCCGGCATGAGTTTAAGCCACCGGGTCCAGGGCTTGAACCGCGGTCGACTACATGGGAGTCCAGTGACATAGCCATTACACCAACTGCTGGTCCCAGATTCTTACTTCTTTATAGTCTATTTTTTAGGTCTGATTCGTTGTCCATCATAATTCGCATCCTTATTCGGTCTTAGTGTGTCCCGCCTTGTTCAGAGATGGGCGTCTTGTGAAGAGCAAGCCCTTCTGCTTTCTGCTGTCCTCTTTCTCCCTCTCCTGTACTGTCAGTCTCTCCACTGGTCTGGTCCTCTCCGCCTACCAGGGTGGGCACAGGTCCTCCTCCAGGAAGTCGCCCCCTCACCCGTCATGGCCGCAGTACCTTACCGTCCTTTATACTTTCCGAGAGAGCCATCTGCACTCTCTGCTTCTGCAGACCCTCCTCTCCTTCCTTCCACTCCACTTCCGGTCCACTCTGCGGATCCTGTTCCTACTGTAATAAGCGTCCTGTCCTTGGGGTGAAAGCTGGTGGATACTTTCAGAGGCTCTTGGTGTACTCCCTTGTTACCCTCTAAAGTTTGTAGGGTCTGTAGTATATGCCCTTTTTTTTTTTTTTCCTCCCTGGTGTCAGTCACTTGGGTCATCTCTCTTTTTCTTATCTGGCCAATCTGAATAGAAGATGATCTATTTCATTGCTGTTTTCAAATGACTAGCTTTTGGTTTTATTGATTTATTTGTACTGTTTTCTTTTTAAAATAGTGTATGATTTCATTTATTTAGTAACATTTTTGCCATCGAGTGTGGGCACTTGTCAGAGGGAAATGGGGGGAGGTGAGAACTGACCCCCCCAAGGGGGAATGGCTACACCACAGTCTCCCCTTCTTCATTCTCTTGGGATTTGGGGGCACATATGCACACATGCCTGGCATAATTATCAAGCCCCCAGGTGCCTTAATCATCATGCCACCTGCTGACCCCTATTTATACTCTTTTCTGTTTTCAGTTGCATTAGTTCTGCCCTTGTTCTTATTGTTTTCTTTTCTTCTCCTTGTTTGTTATTTTTACAGAGAGTTTTGCTATAGGACACGTGTGCTCGCTTATCAGAGAGATAGAGAGAAGGTGAGCGATCATCCTCCGGAAGAGATAGCCACACTTCAGTCCCTTCTCCTCCATTCTCCTCTCAGGATTTTGGGCACTCACACTCATGTCCCCAGCAAGAGTTTAAAGCCCCAGGTCTGGGACTTGAACCGTGGTCGACCATGTGGAAGTCCAGCAATATAATCATTACGCCACCTGTTGTTCCCTTGTCTTGGGTTTTAATTTGCTTTTTGTCTTCTAGTATCAGAGTAGAAGCTTATCTTATTTTTCTCAAGGGACCATGGTCAAGATTCAAACACCACCACGATCAGCCGTGTGGGATCTAGCTCCCTGTGCATCTCACTTAACCACTGCGTGACGGGACTGGCCTCAAAGCTGCCAGGAGTCATTTGAGACTTTCTGCTTTTCTAATACAAACATTTATGCTATGCATTTCTCTGGAAGCACTGCGCCATCTAAGCATCCTATAAATTCTGATGCGCTCTATTTTCATTCAGTTCAAAATATTTTCTAATATCCGTCTAGACTTCCTCTCTGACCCATGGTAATTTAGTACTGTGTGATTTACTTTCCAAATATTTGGGATTTCCCAAATACCTTTCTGTTATTGGTATCTAATTCCATTTGGTTCAGAAAACCTGCTTTGTATGATTTTATTATTATTATTTTTAAACTTTTTGCCATGGAGCGTGTGCGCACACTGGAGCCTTCTCCAGAAACAATGAGAGGGAAAGTGAGACATCATCCGTTGGTGGGGGTGGCCACGCCACTGTCCCTTCTCCTCCATTCTCCTGCTGGGACTTTAGGCACTCACGCACACGGACCCAGTGTGATTTTCAAGCCACCAGGTCCAGGACTTACACTGTGGTCAACCACGTGGAGTCCAGCACCTTCACTCCCATACGATCTGACAGTCCTGCTTTTAGTTTTTTAAAAAGTTTGTTAAGGTTTGTTTTACGCCCCAGAATGTGCCTTGGTCCAAAGTTGAACTCACTGTTTCATGATCCTTCGTGTACCCCAGTTCTGTTCACCCCAGTTCTACTCACCCCAGTTCTTTCCCATAATCACTGTCGCAGTGTATGGCCACAGTCTCTCTGGCCTTCCAAACTGAGGCCCGGAGTCACCCCTCAAGGACTCAGCCCCCCTCTACCCTTTCCCTCTGCCCCGTGACCATGTTCTTCTGAGACCGTGTGCATGGTACCTCTCACGTCACACCCTCCTCCCTTCCTTCGTCACTGCCCTTGTCCTCTGATGGTGGTTTGTGCCCATGGGAGAGTTTCAGTAGTTCCCGTAAAGTCGGGGCAGCTGGGCTGGCCCCATATCAGCCTTCCCCAGCCTTTCTAACCTCACTCCCTTCTTGTCTTCCCCCTTCTTGTGGCTCTCCCACATGGACTAAGTCGCCTCACCTGAAACCGGCCTTATCCTTCATGCCGTTTGGCCCTGCATCTGCTCAGGCTTGCCCTGGTTGTCCCCAGTCACCTCACTCGGGCAGACAGCTCTGCGAGCGCTGCTCTCCGAAGGCACCTCTCACCCTCTGCCAACTCCCCTCCTTATCCCACACTGTCTGCCCTGTAGCAAAAACCTCTCAAACATACACACACACACACACACACACACACACACACACTCAAGGACTCCACACAGCTCAAACTCAAGACCAGAAGACTTTTTCTTTTTAAGAAGTATTTTATTTAACTTATTTTAATTTATTTTAATTTGACCAGAGAGGGACAGAGTAAGAGAGAGAGAGAGACAGAGAGAGAGAGAAAGTGAGAAAGCAAGCCGCCAGGTCTGGGACACGGACCACAGTCAGCCATGTGGGAGTCCAGAGCCCTTAACCACCACGCCACCTGCCGGCCCCAAAGACGGGAACACTTTAATACTGTTATTGGCCTGCAGGTTTGGTTATTTTTGGTTTGTCTCTTTTTTCTGACCATACTGGGTAGTTGTGTGACAGATGTCTTTTTATAGATGATGGCTTGTCGTTTCATTTTCCTAAGGGGCAGAACGCTTTGATGTTCACAATATTTCGTTTTCTCAGTGGCTTGGCAGGTTTTGTTAGTTTGTTTTTAGATTCACCCACACATTTGCTGGTTTCTTTTTAGTCACTGGCTCCCCTTTCATCTCAGGTGTTCCTTCTAAAAGCGTTTCTCTTCTTCCTGAAGTTTTTGTTTTGTTTTGTTTTGAGAGGTTTTTGCTATAGGGCGCGTGCGCTCGCCAGACAGAGAGAGAGAGAGAGATAGAAAGCGAGAAATCGCCCCCCAGGGGGGATGGTCACGCCGCAATCCCTTCTCCTCCATTCTCCTCTCGGGATCTTGGGCACACACGCACACGCGCCTGGTGTGAGTTTAAGCCACCAGGTCCAGGACTCGAACCACGGTCGACTATGTGGGAGTCCAGCAACATAGCCATTACGCCAACTGCTGATCCCCCTGAAGTTATTCTCTAGAAGTTCGTTAAGGGCAGTCTATGAATAGTGAACTCAGTTTTTACCTAAAACTGTCTCTACATCACCCTCATTCTTGTTTGTCTGTTTGTTTTTAGTGATGACTGTAGGGCGCGTACGCTTGCCAGAGAGACAGGGAAAGTGAGAAATGGCTCCCCGGAGGAGACGGCCATGCTGCACTCTCTCTCTATTCTCTTCTTGGGATTTCAGACACGTGTACACATGCACTCGGTGTGTTCAAGTCATCAGGTCTAGACCTTGAACCTCGCAGTTGGCTACGAGGGATCCAGCTGCCTTAACCACACCGCTCCTGTCCGGCCCTCACCTTCTTTCTTGACAGATTGTTTGACTGAGTGTGAAATATTAGTGGACAGTTATTTTCTTTCTTACTCTACAGTCGCCTCCCTCCCGCAGCGGCTGTTGAGATGTTTTCTGTCTAAATTCCCTACCTTTGGAGCCATGCGCCTGTATCTCTCTGTTTTGCAGATTTTCACTTTAATTTTGGTATATTGCTATTTCACTATGCCTTGTCTCGGTACAGATCTCATTTTACTTCTCCTTTTTGGAATACATTTTATTTCTGCAGATTGTTTTGTTTAATGTGTTGTAGGTCACATGCACGTGCAGGAGACCGAGAGTGAGAAAGCACCCCATAGTGGGGGATGGCCATGCTGCAATCTCTTTTCCTCCATGTTCCTGTTGGGATTTTGGGCATGCACTCACACACGCCTAGCACGTTTTCCAAGCCTCCAGGTTTGGGACTCGAACCACGCACTTGGCTTTGTTGGATCCAGCCTCCGTAGCTATCACATGACTGGCTGGCCCTGTCTGTGGATTCCTTCATCAGTTCTATTAGGCCATTGGGAAAGTCATAAGTATTTTCCTGTATTTTTCTACGCAAAAATGCATCATGACAGAGAGAGACAGAGAGATAGAAAGTGAGAAATCACCCCCCGGGAGGATAGTCATGCCACAATCCTTTCTCCTCCACTCTCCTCTCAGGATCTTGGTCATGCATGCACATGCGCCTGGCATGAGTTTATGCCACCAGGTCCAGAACTTGAACCGTGGTCAACTACAGGGGAGTCCAGTGATGTAGCCATCATGCCATCTGCTGGTCCCTGCATAATTTCTTAAGCTTTATCTTCCAGTATTTCTGTTTCTTTCATTAGATTTATAAAAATTCTGTTTGTTTTGTGATGCTTGGTTTGGAGTTCATATTTCTTTACTCTTAATCTGAAAACAAACAAGCTTCACAGAAAGCACAAATCGAAAATGCTTTCCTTCGGAGAAGATTTGCATGTGCTGCTTTTGGGAACCAGAGGAGAATGTCAGGTTGAGGCCGTTTTTATCTCAGCTTAGTCCAGGAGTCACAGGCTCAGCTCCTTTCCACCCCCCCACCCCCACCCCATCTGCTGAGAGCAGCCCCGTCTTTGTGTTCTCTTACTACCCTGATTCTGCTACCAGGGTTCTCTTTCTCTTACACAGACACATCGTAAACTTCATACCCTAGTTCCCATTCATTACCGCAACTCCCACAGTACGACAGCATTAAGCTTTTATGAACGCTCCAGCTGTTCCCTGCCAAAGAGCCTTTCACAAGGTATGTCCATCCGTCTTACAGCCCAGAGCTGAAGTATCTACAAACAACTATGGTTGTGTTTCCAGTTTTGTTTTTGTTTGTTTATTTGGTTGGGTTTTTTAGAGAGAGATTTTTTTTGCTATAGGGCTCCTGCTCTTGCTGGAGAGACAGACAGAAAGCACGAAATCACCCCTCAGGGAGGATGGCCACACCACAATCTCTTCTCCATTTTCCTCTTGGAATTTGGAGCACGCATGCACATGTGGCCAGCATGAGTTTCAAGCCACTGGGTCTAGGACTCAAACTGCAGTGGGCCCTGTGGGAGTCCAGTGGTGTAAACCAAACCGCAGTGGGCCTTGTGGGAGTCCAGTGGTGTAACCATTATGCCATCTGCAGGTCCCTACAAAAAATAATATTTTTTTTTGAAAGGTTTTTGCTATAGGGCACATGTGATCTCCAGAAAGACAGAGAGAGAGAAACAGAGAGACAGAAAGCGAGAAATCACCCCCTGGGGGGATGGCCAGCCACAGTCTCTTCTCAGTTCTCCTCTCGGGATCTTGGGTACGCACGCACACATGCCCAGTGTGACTTTAAGCCACCGGGTCCAGGACTCAAACCACAGTCGACTATATGGGAGTCCAGTGATGTAGCCATTATGCCATCTGGTGGTCCCCCTACAAAGAATATTTAACTAGCTGTCTTCACACCATTCTTGCTAACTTCTTTCTCTTTTCTCCCATCTCCAGCTCTTCCTTTGCTTCTTCCTAAATCTCCTTCCCTCCTGCTAATTTGCCGGCTGCCTCTTTGTACCTTCTCTGGAGTCTCTCCACAATGTGCAGAGCAGCTCAGCTCCCAGTACTTGGCTCACTCAAGCTTTTCTCTGAACATTTCCTCTCAGTCCACAGAGCAGAGGCAGGCACCATCCCGCAGGGGACCCACCCTCCCCTCCCAGAGGGCACTGGGGTTGTAAATCGCAGTTTTCTCTGTTCAGTTGTCTCAGCCCACTGCGTACACATCAAATGCCCGCCAGGCACCCCACATCCAGAGCTCCTCACAGGCTCCTGTACCCTGCAAGTTCATATCTATTTTAATTGATTACTTAGTTACAAAAACTTTATACCCCTGACAAAGCAGTAACACTGGATATAACATAGTATTTTTATTTGTTTGAAAAATGTCTTTTTTTTTTTTTTTTTTAGAGGTTTTTGCTATAGGGCGCATGCTCTCACCAGACAGTCAGAGCGAGACAGGGCAGAAAGTGAGAAATCACCCCCCAGGGGGTATGGTCATGCCGCAATCGCTTCTCCTCCATTCTCCTCTCAGGATCTTGGACACAGACGCACACGCTCCTGGCATGAGTTTTAAGCCACCGGGTCTGGGACGCAAACCGCGGTCGACTACATGGGAGTCCAGTGACATAGCCATTACGCTAACTGCTGGTCTCGAAAATGTCTCTTGTTTGAAATGCCTATTTGATCACTGGTAAATGAAGGAATAAAAAAACTGTGACTTACATCTCTGAGGTCAAATGTCATACGGCTGGTGTTTTAGTTTGTTAGAGTAGCAAAAATAAAACAGAAATTTACTGCCTCACAGTTCTGGAGGCTAGAAGTCCAAGACCAAGATGTCAGTAGCTTTGTTTTCTTCTGAGGCCTCTCTCCTTGGCAGGCAGAGGGCTGTGAGATCATATCTTTAGCATCATCTCGTCTTGCAGATATGTCATACGGCAGAAGAACTGTATTAAGAGTTCCCAGTGAGCAATATTTAATATGTTCAAGTGCATTGGGACCTTTAAATTATCACTGTGTATTTTTTAAAATATGGAGATTGGGCTAAGTCATTGCATTCGATTGGCTGTGAAGGTCGTTGGTAGGTGTTTCTTTGTCCTACGAAGGAATCCTCGGTAGTACAGTTTGAGCTTAGTAGGTAGTCTCTTATGTCCCCATGTCGTTAGGAGCAAAAATGAGAATGGGAGTCCGTGTGTGTCTCTCAGTGTACGTGAGCAGGCAGTTCAGTCAAAACACCTCACTGGGGGACCAGCAGTTAGCATAATGGATATGTCACTGGACTCCCATGTAGTCAACCACGGTTCAAGTGCCGGACCCGGTGGCTTAAACTCACACTGGGCACATGCGCGTGCATGCCCAAGATCCCGAGAGGAGAATGGAGGAGAAGGGATTGCGGTGTGGCCATCCCCCCGGAGAGTGATTTCTTGCTTTCTGTCTCTCTCTGTCTTTCTGGTGAGCACACGCACCCTATAGAAAAAACAAACAAACAAACAAAAAACAACAACAACAAAAACACAACAACAACAAAATAAAACCTCTCCAAAAAAAGAAAAAAACAAAAGCAAACAAACGAACAAAAACCACCTCATTGACGCTCATAAGTCATGTCGCCCTTACTCAGATGACCCTAATTATAGGAATATTCTGTCTTTAGCAGAGAGCATGAGTGCAGTTCTAATTTCATTCGCTTGGTGAGTCTTGATCGTGGGGTACACTGGTCTAGGCCCCGGGGCTACAGTGGGCACCAGAGCGAAGCCCCTCACACCAGGACACACATTCTGGTAGGGGACACACATGTGCACGTGGGACACACTGCAGAGCAGCGAGGAGAGCAGAGCAGAGCAGCTGGGGTGGTCAGGGAGAGGCGTGCCGACATTTGAGCTGAGACCCAAATGGCATGGCGCATGAGCCACATGGTTCCTCGGGGAGCCATTCCAGGCAGAAGGGCCCAGAGGTGGCCTGCCCCTGGCTAACCCTCTCCTGTCTACCCTGCTGCTTTTCAGGTATCCAAGATGTTTCTAAATGGAGCGAGAAAGTAAGAAAGCCTCTTGAAGACCTCTATGGGTACGACTACTTTGTCAAGACCTGCAAAAAGTGGGTGGATGGCATCGAACGCTTTAAACAGCTCCCGAACGGTAGGTTTTGTGGACTGTCGCGTGGTGCTTAGCCAGTTAGAGAGGACGCTTGAGTTCCTCCCCGGGTGTCCCAGAACGCCTCCGTGGTTCAAGACCCCAGCCGTCACCCTTTCACACGGATGTGTGAATGGAGATCTCTGGTTATCAGATATAGCAAGCGCTTGCGTAAGACACCCGCCTGCCACAAGGGGTGGGACTGCATGTACCATCCTCCTTTGTCCTACTAAGGAATCCTCAGTAGTACAGTTTGAGCTTAGTAGGTAGTCTCTTATGTCCTCATGTCTTCAGGAGCAGAAATGAGAATGGGAGTCCGGGGTACATGAGCATGCAGTTCAGTCAAAACACCTCACTGGGGGGCCAGCAGTTGGCGTAATGGCTATGTCGCTGGACTCCCATGTAGTCAACCACGATTTGAGTGCAAACCCTGCATTTGGGCGTGCACGCACATGCTCACCCTCCTGGGTTTGAACGTGCACACACATGCTCGCAGTGTGCTTCTCAAACCACCAGGACCAGATTTGAACCATGTGATCAGCCGTGCGAGATCTGTCTCCCTTGACCACTAGACCACAGGCTGGCCCTGAATGAAAGTCTTTTTATAGGGCTGTTTATGCTTCTAGTTGCTCTTTTTTCTTCTCTTTTTCTTCCTTTTTATTACTTTTTTAAAATATGTACCGTGTTCATATTGTTCCGTCTTCGGGAGCAGACTGTTCTTGTCTCTTTCTGATCCTTTGTGTCTGTGATGACCACATAGACCTCCAGAAGCCTTGGAAGGTTTCTAGTTTCTAATTCCAGAAGAGGTAATTAGAAAACAAGCCACGCCAGAGATGATTATTTTTTCCTTTTTGTACATGGAGACGTCACCCCCACGACATCCTCTGTTAGCTAGGACAAAGAAAAGAGGAAGCTTATGTCATGGTCTTCAACCCCAGCAGCGTGAACGTGAGGAAGAGAGGATTCCGTTCTCTTCCCGCCTTCAGAACGAAGATGTGTAACCTGGGCTGGGAACAAATGTCTCTCTTTCTTTTTTGGAGAGGTTTTTTGCTATAGGGCGCGTGCGCTCGCCAGAAAGACAGAGAGAGACAGAGAGACAGAAAGCGAGAAATCACCCCCCACGGGGGATGGCCACGCTGCAATCCCTTCTCCTCCATTCTCCTCTCGGGATCTTGGGCATGCACGCACACGCGCCCGGCGTGAGTTTTAAGCCACCGGGTTCGGGACGTGAACCGCGGTTGACTACATGGGAGTCCAGCGACAGCCATTACACTAACTGCTGGTTCCCATGAAGAGGAATTCTGTATGACCCTTTTTGTGCGTGCCAAAGGGTGCATGTGCTCACCAAAGAGAGACAGCGAGAGGGAGAAGTCGTCATTGGTGGGGTGTGGTCGCACTGCATTGCCTTCTCCTCCGTCTCTCCCTCCTGGGTTTGGGCGTGCACACACATACTCACAATGTGCTTCTCAAGCCACCAGGACCAGATTTGAACCATGTGGTCAGCCGTGTGAGATCTGGCTCCCTTGACCACTAGTGACCGCAGTCTGGACCTGAATGAAAGTCTTTTTATACGGCTGTTTATACTTCTAGTTGTTCTTTTTTTTTCTTTTCTTTTTCCTCCTTTTTTTTTTTTTTTTAATTATGAAGACTAGAGTCGCTAAGATCTAATCTTGGAGCACACTCAGTTACAACATGGCTATGATTGGAGGGCCAGTTTGATCTGTTAGGCAGTCATTTCCAGCGTGAGTCATCTGTCAGAACTTTCACAATGAAGAGGACATTTAGAAATGTGGCTTAGCTGCTTTGAGTTCCAAACAGCAAACCTACGCCTCGTGTTGATCCTGATCAAATGCTAGGACCTTAGAAACGGGTCTTTTGAAGTGTACTTTTCTCTGCTCTTAAAACCAAAATGCCGCGGGACTGGCAGGTGGCATGGTGGTTAGGGACGCTGAACTGCCACATGGTCGACCACAGTTTGAGTCCCAGATCTGGCAGCTTGCTTTCTCTCTTTCGCCCCCTCTTTCTCTCACTCTGTCCCTCTCTGATCAAATTGAATAAATAAATAAATAAAGTTAAATAAAATAATTCTTTTTTTAAAAATGGCCATGAAACAGTGTCTGAGGCAGTCTTTTTTTATTCTTTCTTTCTTTCTTTCTTTCTTTTTTTTTGAGATGTTTTTGCTATAGGGTGTGTGCACTCGCCAGAAAGACAGAGAGAGTCAGAAAGTGAGAAATCACCCCCCAGGGGGGATGGCCATACCACAATCCCTTCTCTTCCTTTCTCCTCTCTGGATCTTGGGCACGCACACACACGTGCCCGGCATGAGTTTAAGCCACCGGGTCTGGGACTCGAACCGCGGTTGACCACATGGGAGTCCAGTGATGTAGCTGTTATGCCAACTGCTGGTCCCACAGTCTTTATTGAAGTCCTCTCCTTTGTGGGAGAAGAATCATAAAATCTGGTAGCAAAGAGGCCTGCAAGTTTGTGAAATGCAAACTTTTGTGCTTTATTGAAGATGGCAGTGAAAAATAGGAAGACTCAAAGGCAGAAATAGAGTTAAATCAGAGGTTCAGAAATGCATCAGATAGAGACTCTGCCAGGGTCTAAGTCACCCTACAGAGAGCGGTTAACTTACCTCCCTTCTGTGATGCCTATTTTGACAGGAGCCCTTCTTTTCTGTCAAGTTTATGGATGCTGAATTAAGCATAGAGGTAGCACAACTCTGGAGTCAGGCGGGCCTGGGTTTGGATTCTGGCCTTGCCTCTTGGCTTGCTGTCAGGATGGATTTGGGCGGATGACTCAGCTTCTCTCAGCTTCTGTTTCCTGTCTGGGACCTGGAGACACAGGTCATACCTCCTCATAAAGTTACATAGATTCAATGAGATAATACTTGTTTAGTTTAGATACTGTAACAAGTAGACTGTAACAAGTAGAGTGAGTGCTTAAGGAAAGCACCGTCACCACTGTTACTACAAAAGTACTGAATTTTCAAGTAATTGTATATACCCAATGAATGTAACTCCTAGAGGTGTTTAACAGGTATGAAATTGTTTAAGTAATTCCTGTTCTGTTGTTGATTTTTAGAGAGATTTTTGCTATAAGGCACATACACTCACCAGAGACACAGAGAGAGACAGAAAGTGAGAAATCACCCCCCCAGGGAGGACGGCCTTGCTGCAATACCTTCCCTTCCATTTTCCTCTCAGGATTTTAAGCATGCGCACACACATTCCTGGCATGAGTTTTAAGCCGCTGGGTCCAGGACTTGAACCATGGTCAACTATGCAAGAGTCCAGTGACATAACCTTTATGCCACCTACTGGTCCCTGTTTAAGTAATCCCTGATGCATGGTGTGCCCTGGTAATACTGGCTTTCATTGTCATCACTGGAGTATTCAGTCGGCAGGAGTATGTCACCCCAAGGATAGGAGAGGGGAGCTTCGGGGACCTAGAGCAGTATTTCTGTGGTCCAAAGGTCACGGCCTTCTCATTTAGCAGACAGAGACCCCCACCTACAGGGAGAGGAGAGGCCAGTACTGGTGCACCGCCCTGGGCTCTTGGTGCAGACAGAGGAGTGGGAAGAAGGGGTTAGGGTTCGGGTAGCTCTGTGGATGCCACAGATCTTAGACACGGCTGTTCAGTCGCACAGCAGCCCCAGGGAACTGTGTATCCTGGCATGAGGCGAAAGCTCAAAGTGACTTACAGCCCCCAAGATGTCACGGAGGCAGGAACTGGCAGGGTGAAAACTGGAGCCCACCATGGACCACGGTAGCCTCGGAAGTGCTGTGGTACGTGGGGGTGGGAGTAGGTCTTTACAGTCACCTGGGAACCCATTAGCCAGGGGTGTCGTGGTGGCCCAAATGACGGAGAGCAGCCCGTTTAGCCCTCATAAATCGAAACGTCACCGTGAAGCCTGGCCAAGGCCCATGCCACCACTTCAGACCTGATGTCAGGGAAAAAGCTGGGGGACCAGCGTTAGCGTAATCGCTATGTCACTGGATTCCCATGTAGTTGACCGCGGTTTGCGTCCCGGACCCAGTGGCTTAAAACTCACGCCGGGCACGTGTGCATACGTGCCCAAGATCCCGAGAGGAGAATGGAGGAGAAGGGACTGCAGCATGGCCATCCCCCCTGGGGGTGATTTCTCACTTTCTGTCTCTCTGTCTCTCTCTGTCTGTCTGGCAAGCACACGCGCCCTATAGCAAAAACCTCTGACAGTGGCTTGTTTACTAACAGAACTTGAAAAACAAATAACAGCAAAGCAGCAGACAAAGAAGCAGACTATCAGGGCTGGCAGGGACCCCAGGCACAGTCCCCGAACCACTGTTTTCACAAGCAGGGAAACTGAGAAGAGAAGGGCGTGCCCGCTGAGTTCCCTTTGTGCCCCCTCGCAGAGCCAGCACTGCAGCAGACGCCCCATGCATTGTCTTTCAGGTAACATCTGCCGGCACCTGCTGCCGCTGATACAGTGCCCCCCCTTGGTCTTGCACGGCGCGGAGGGT